CACTCAGTAGAACTGGCTTTCTCATAGAGGAGCCCTCTGATAAACAAGGAAACCAAGTCATGACTCCAGACAGGTGAGAAGCCCTGTTATTTCACTCTCCACATTTGGCTGTTCTCCCACTTACTCTCCTTGAGATCACATCATCTTCATGTGTTCTTTCTCTCCTTGCGCGTCTATACTGCTGGGTCTTTAGATGTCCATGCCTATGTCATCACCTGGTTCCAGTGTCCTCTTCTGCCTTCCCTCGACTCCCGCTCATCCTGCTCTGACCTCGGTGGCACCACCTCCTCCTGCTCTGTTATAACGGAATACCCACACATTACAATGTCCTGCTTTTGTGGACATGTCTGTCTCCCCTGCTGGACTCTGAACACTGTAATGAGAGCACTTGTATCCGATTTATCTTTCTCTCTCCAGGGCCTAGCACCAAGCCTTGGGAGTGGATGCTCAGTGTTTGCTCCAAGAATAAATGTTGTCTTGTGGCACCTAGTGGTGGGCGGTGGTATTACAGGAATTGCTTCAGGGGGAGGCATGCTAAGGCTGGGAAGGAAAGCGAACCCCCAGTTCTGTGATTTTTGAGAAGCTCGGCAGGAGCACTGTCACGAATAGAGGAGTTGGGCTAGCATATAGGCAGTGGTGATGGAAGAGAGGTAGCGTGGAACATTCTGGTGAGTCTTTGAAGGAAATTTAGAAATTGGAAGTTCTGAGTTCTAGGTCAGAACTGGAGGGAATACTAAGGATGCTGGGTTTTATAGCCAATGTCCAGTTGTGGTGCAGAGAAGCTGTGGCTTAACCTGGTTCCAACAGCTAGTTAGTTGCAGACTAGGTAGAGGAACCAGGCATCCCAGTTCAGACAGGTTTGTGACAGATATGGAAACAAAGGCACAGAGAGGTAAAGTAACTTGCCCCAGATCACACAGCTAGTAAGTGGTGGAGCCTGGACCCAGACATAGATCCGTCTGATGACATAGGCCAGCTTGTAACCACGAAACGATCTTGTCTCTTCTTGTAGAGTCTATTGCAGCGGTTCTCAACCTGTGGGTCGCGACCCCTTTGGGGGTTGAATGACCCTTTCACAGGGGTCGCCTAAGACCATCAGAAAACACATATATAATTACATATTGTTTTTGTGATTAATCACTATGCTTTAATTATGTTCAATTTGTAACAATGAAATTGGGGGTCACCACAACATGAGGAACTGTATTAAAGGGTCTCGGCATTAGGAAGGTTGAGAACCACTGGACTCTATTGAAATGTAGTTGTATTTTCAGAAAAACATTCACATTCTTCAAATATTAAAATCAAAGTCCCTGAATAATTTACTATGTGTATACTGGTATACATGTAGTATATGTAAATAACATGAAGAAGGTTTTGTTTTCCTCTACCACTAAATTTAAAATATTCCTATTTCTATTGTACTTCATTTAAAAATAAATATTTTATACCATATTGTAATGAGTGAGAATCTATTCCTTTAATTTCATGAACACCAGCTTTATAGTCAATGAATTTAATCAGAACATCCTTACCTATGCAGGTTTTACACTCAGCTCTAACAACTGTTGACATAGGGACTAGAATGTATTTTAGAAATGATATTTTACAGACACAGAAAAGGTAAATGACTAGCTTGAGTTTCAAAATGAGTTGATGGAAGAATCAAAATAGAAGCCCTTCTATTACATTACTAGACTCACTGGAATTCCTAACCGCATTTACTTAGCAGTCCAGATCCTGGGACATCAGCCTGCTTTAACACGGAGAAATGTTTCTGTTGGGGGGCAGGGAGGAGAGTCAGGGAAAGGCAAAGGGAAGACTGACATGATTATTTCTAGGTCATTTCCAACCTTACTGTTATAACACAGTTTTCTAGGTGGAAGATAATATACTCATTAAAGTGAAAGTGTTCGTTTTAAAATAAAGCAATAGGAGCCCTAAATGGCTCTGTTACTTAGACAAATGAGCATACATAAATGAACTCAAATTTTGTTTTTCATGCTCAGTCATATTCTGTATTAAGGCAAATAAGTAGTTATTTATAAATAAACAGTGTGTCGTTCACTTAACTTTCAAAGCTACTGATTAGAATAATAATCAGTGTTTCCATGTAGTACTATATTCATAGAAATACTGATATTGCAGTGGATAGAGATTTTAGAATGATGCTCTTTATCTCTTCATGTAATCTAGCTTTTAAAATGCATCCTAATTCATAAATGATGAAGAAAGCAATTAACATTATTCAAATGGGATATCTTGGGTAATTAAATTCTTAGCATAAATTACAAATTCCTGTCTCTTCACCATTTTTTGCCCAAATTTATTTTTATTGAATGACCTTTGGTACCAACTTATCTACACTAATAAAAGAGAAACATGCAAATTGGTGTCACTCCGCTGCGCCCACCAGCCAATCAGGATGAGTATGCAAATTAACCCAACAAAGATGGCGGTCAATTTGCATATGCAGGCGAGGAGCGGAGACTGAAGGTTGAAGGCAACTGAAGACTGAAGAGGCTTGGCTTCTCCGCTGCGGCCAGAGTGAAGGCCTGGGTCCTGGGTGCCGGAGGGAAACCGGTGCTGGCAGCCAGGGGAAGGAAGGCCTATTGCACAAATCTCTTTGTGCAACGGGCCTCTAGTTTTATAATAAAATGTTTCCTGAGGTGTTTTTTAAATTGTAATGGCCTTTTCTGTCGAGCATGGTATTTATAAAAGTTTCTTTGATGAAAAGCTTATGAATTTTGTGCAAATAACCCAGACAGGCTCTTAGATCAGAGATAACATTTGTATAGGACTTTTATGGCTTTATGGGATACTTTTACACTCATTTATTTGACCCTTACCTGTGAGTAGTCAGTGGAAGTCACATTTTACTGATGAGAGCAACGTAGAGGAAGGTGCCTTGGCATGGTTCTAGCTCAGGGGTGGGCAAACTTTTTGACTCGAGGGCCACAATGGGTTCTTAAACTGGACCGGAGGGCCGGAACAAAAGCATGGATGGAGTGTTTGTGTGAACTAATATAAATTCAAAGTAAACATCATTACATAAAAGGGTACGGTCTTTTTTTTTTTTTTAGTTTTATTCATTTCAAACGGGCCGGAGTAGTTTGCCCACGGCTGTTCTAGCTGCACAGTAGATGTTAAACATGTACATTTTAAAAGAAAATTAACAGCCCTAGCTGGTTTGGCTCAGTAGATAGAGTGTCGACTTGTGGACTGAAGGGTCCCAGGTTCGATTCCAGCCAGGGGCACCTGCCCGGTTGCGGGCTTGATCCCCAGTGTGCGGCAGCCGATCCATGATTCTCTCTCATCATTGATATTTCTATCTCTCTCTCCCTCTCCCTTCCTCTCTGAACTCAATAAAAATATATATAAAAAAAGAAAATTAACAAAGGAACCCAACACCCAACAGGTTATTTGATTTGCTCAAGGTCACCCAGCAAATAAAACTTCATGCCAAGAACTGAACTTACTTCTTTACTCAAAAAGTCCCTATGTTGTCCTTGTCTCACTGCTATCTTCTCAGATGTTTTAAAAGGTCAAATTAAAAACATTCATTTTTCTTAATTGAGGTGAAATTCAAAAATGCGTGAGTTCTTATTTTAAATTGTAATAGTCTCTCTTCTGTCATCACTGTCTTTTTCACAGCCCATTTCCTGTATTCATAACAATGCTCATAAAATTAACCATTTTAAAGCATACATTTCAGAGGCACTTAGTATATTCACAGTTTTCTGCAGCCATCAGCTCTATCTAGTTGAAAACTATTTTGATCATCTCTAAAGGAGACCCCACTTCCGTTAAGCAGTCACCCCAATCTCTCCTCTCTACAGCTGCTGGTATCTACCAGTCAGCTTTCTGTCTCTATAGATTTCTCTATTATATATACTTTGTGTCAATGGAATCCTACAATATGTCACTGTCTTAGTCCGTTCAGGCTGCTGTAATAGAATGCCATTGACTGGATAGCTGGTAAACAACAGAAATTTATTTCTCACAGTTCTAAAGACTGGAAAGTCCAAGATCAAAACTTGGGCAGATTTGGTGTCTTATGAGGACCTGTTTCCTGGTTCATAAAAGAGCTCTCTGGAACCTCTTTTACCAGGGCACTCATCACTTTCCAAAGGTTCTACCTCTTAATACTATTACATTGGGGATTAGGATTTCAACATGTGAATTTTGAGGGGACACAAACATTCAGTCAATTGCAGTGACCTTTTGTATCTAGCTTCTTTCATTTAGCATGATGCTTTCAAGATTAATCTGTGTTGTAGCATGTGTCAGTGCTTTATTACTTTTTATGTCTGAATTCTATTCCATTGTAGGGATAGGCCATATTTCGTTTATCCATTCATCAGTTGATGGACATTGAGTTATTTCTGTATTTTGGCAATAGTGCTGCTATGAGCATTCATGTTTGAGTGTTTGTTTGAATACCTGTTTTCAGTTCTTAGCAGTGGAATTGTCAGGTTATATGCAATTCTATGTTTAATTTTTGAGGAACCACCAAATGTTTTCCATTTCCTATCAATAATGTACAAGGGTACCAATTTACCCATGTCCTTTTCAATGCTTGTTATTTGAGGGTTTGTTTTTATTATTGTAACCGTCCTAGTGGGTATGAAGCAGTATCTCCTTGTGGGTTTGATTTGCATTTCCCTGATAAAATATTCATATTTTAATGCATAGAATTAATCATAGAGTGAGCTTTGTAAAAAAAAATCAACATCAAAATGAATGGTTTCATTCATCTTCAGGAGATGGCATATGATTACCCCTGAGGTGCACAGTTCTGGGCTGAAAAATAAAGAATATGTTGCTTTGGAATTAGAAGGATGTATGTGGACAATAAGTCAACAATCATGTAATTTCTTACATCATGTTTTGTTTTCATGCCACCTGCCCAAAGATGCATGGTTATTTGCATTGCAAAGCTCTCTTTATATACTAGTAATTCTTGCATGTCTTAATGACCTGTTAATTTATTTTTGCAGCGTGAGTGAAGACATCCAGGATGGCTCAGGGATCCGGGGAGCAAAGAGCAGTGGCAACTGCCGACCCAGAGGACAGTTCTCCAAATATGATAGTCTACCGCAAAGTAAGGCATCTGGTTAAATGCTGTGATGCTGGCTGTGTTGTGTGTGTGTTTGTGTTCTGTGTGGGGTTGACCGATGGTTGACAGCTCAACAAATGTTTTCTGCCTGGACTGCCTCGACTGATAAAAGAATATCGTTTGCTTCTCATATCTGATTTTCCAATTCTAAAATTCAAGGCAGTTAGATTTTGTCATACTTGGTATTGAATACTTGGGAAAATATTATGTGATTTTGTTTTCTTTAAACTCAAAGATCACCTATGTAATACAGATGGAGACATATTCTCCTTTGGTGTAAAAGCCTTACTGTAACATTGATTACATGAATGTTCTTCAGACTGATAGTATGTATAAGAACTGGTGTAGGTGCTATGGGAAACACTGAGGTACGTATAAGATGTTTACAGTTGGTGAGAGATATACAAGTAACTGTAATAGAGTCTATGCATTCATTTCCAAAAGAGAAGTGTAGGTGTATTGTTACATAATTGCAGAGGAGGGAAGATTACTCCAGCCTCAGAGGTCAGGGATGGGCTGTGAAGAAATGGTCTTTGAACTCAATTTTAAAGGATGGGTAAGAGTGCTTATTTGGCAAGAAGGTCATTCCAGATGGTGAGATGTGCTCTGCACAGGCAAAGAGCTGGAGAAAGGGAACAGCCGCCAGAATCAGTTAGTTTGGGCATAGGATGAATTACTAGATGTAAACGAAGGTATGATTTGGGGAAGACAGGCTGGATGGGGCCAGATTTTTAGCATGTGGAATCATAGGCAATTTAATCATGGGAAACTCATGTGCTGGGAGTTGTAAATCAGCATCTGTTTGGGATTATGAATCTTGCCCCCATGAGGCAAATGCATTGTTATCAGGGGAGATTGCAGGCTCCAGGAGGGTTGTTTCTGTGTCTGTGAGAAAGGTAAGGAGGACACTAATCTAGCAGGGGACATGCCCTTCAGAACTGAGCAGGACTGAGCAGAGGCTTTAAAGAGTCAGAATTAAAAATGACTTGGAAACGAAATGAATATGGAGTTAGGAGGTGAATAGAGAATCAGAGATGACTGGGTTTTTTGACCTTGGGTTATAGAAAGACATTGATGTTATTAATTCAAATAGAGACATTTGGAAGGGTACATTTTAAAGGAAGGAAATATAGCACATAACTTATTTGTGTGCATACTGAACTTAAGGAAATAACTGCTTATATACCTTTCTAATGTTTGTTTGTGACGATTTAACCTAACTATATTACATTTTAAGACAAAGGAGTTAATGTTCATTCATTTTACTAAATATTTGACTTGTCTGCTGGGTTCTGTGTATTCTATAAGACTCTGTGTTCGATCTCTGGTCATCATATGGGCAGTGTTGAACTAGATATTTCTGGATGATCAGTATGGTGAATTTCTCTCTTTTCTGAGTAAAAATAGAACTCTCAAACTGTTCCTGCTTCCAGTCTCAAGTTCCTTAATTCTTTGCTTTGCAAGAGGCTGCTTTGATGACCTGTTTCTAAGAGAGATGCTTATTAAGTTGTGTTAAAAAAAATAGTTTAACCGGGCTAGCCAATTAGCCATATGAATAATGGAAATACTTTTATTCATCATTACCTTCTTAACCACCCCAAACAGAGAGACCCTATGCCAGGCTTGCAGGAACATGGGGTTTGGAGTCAGACCTGGGTTAAAGTTGCAACTTCGCCACTTCTTAGAGGTGTGACCTTGAGTCACTTTTGTAATTTCTGTGAACTTCAGTTTCTTCATTTATACAAAGAAGAAAGATAACTTGGGAAGAAGGATAGTACCTCGTGGGGTTATTGTGAAGATTCATTTAAATAGTAAATAAGGCGTCTGACATCCTGCTTGGCCTGGAGGTGGTCCATAATGAATGCTTCTTTTTCTTTTAGCTTTAGGTCTTTTTAGAGAGAGTAACACTGGGGAGGAAATAATTTATAAAATGTGTAAATGTTGATGCTGTTAGTAAATTGACTAATGTACGTTCATGCAGTGAGTTGCTTTTTTAAGACACAAGAAAACATTACAAATATATTCAGTTTATTTAAGAGATTGCAAATCAATGGATTATTAAAGGTTAATAGGAAATGTAAAGGTCATGCCATTCAAACACCTTTCCCCTGGAATGTTTGCTGTTACGTGGAAGTGAAAACTTTCTACAAGTTTGTGGGAACTTAGTTTTTACTTTTTATGCAGTAGTAGGGGACTTTTTTTTGTTGTTGTTTTGTTTAATTTAGAAACAAAATTGTTAATTGCTGTAGTTCTTTAAAGAAATGACCACTAGTCATTAGTTTTCTATCTTGGAAATATACCTTGCTTCCTCATGACACACTCGTGGGTGGGAGGTATGTATGTGTTCATGTTATTTGATATATTAGTTAATTGCTATAAAAGGGATATTGGATCTGTTCAATCTGTTAGAAAGAAGATACACTTATTGCCAGTGTGGGTCCAGGATCTGGAATCATTTAAACTTAGTTAAGTTAAGCCATGGTTGTGTTGGAAACATGGGCTATTCATCTAGTTCTCTACTCTCAGTGCTTAGACTGTTGGCTATGGCCAACACTTACCTACTGCAGGACGCTCACTTCAAGGTGTAGCTAAAGACTGACCCCTGAAACCAAGGTCAATTCAAACATTTACTATGGACGTCCTCTGTGTAATAACTTATTCAAGGTGGTAGCTATAAAACCAGACCTTTAGGTAAAGGTCCACAACAAAAATTACATTTAAAAAACTGTGCAAACAGTGCTTTCATGTTGTTTTCTTTCCCTTGTTTGTTGTCTCTTCTTCTTGTCAGACATTTCCAGTGTGAAATTTTTGCTTGGATTGTGTTGTGTTGATTCAGATGCTGACATTTAAAAAGCCAAGTCTAGAGAAGTGGAGCTTTTGGGTAAACTTCCGAGTAATAAGCAGGATGATTATGGCCATAATGTTGTTGTGACTTTTAAATGCCATTTGGGATGGTGACCTTCTGACACATGAGTAATGATGGGTGGGTTCCTTAAGCTCACACATTTCAGAATACTCTTCGTTTTCTTTTCATGTTTTCTAGGTCATTAACCATAAGAAGTTGTACTTTTCCAAGGCATGATTTATATATTGACTTAAACAGACTTTCTAATTTAGTTTTTCATCCTTCATATTCACATTTTGGATTAAAGGTGTGAATGAAAAATGTATTGGTGCCATTAAAAATCTATTTAAAAGAAAAGCTTAATTATTCATTAAGCCGCCTGGACCTGTTAACCTTTTTTATATTCCTGAGCCCAAAAGATCCTGGGTCATTGAATTGCCCAATGCAGTGATGATATTTGAACCTATATTAGATCATTTATACAAATGATAAAAATGTGGATCCTTAAAGGACCCTCCCCCACCCCCAAGATAGGTCTGAGTTAGGTCCTAGGAATCTGAGTTTTAAAATGTTGGTGCTACCTCAAAAAATTAAAAAATGGAACTGCCTTATGACTCAGCAATTCCCTTCTGGGAATATATCCGAAGAAACTAAAAACACTAATTCAAAAGAGTATATGCACCCCTGTGTTCATTGCAGAGTTATTTACAATAGCCAAAATTTGAAAACAGCCCAAGTGCCCCTCAGCAGATGAGTGGATAAAAAAGATGTGGTACATTTACACTATGTTGTAAAAAACAAAGATCTCTTACCCTTTGAGACAGCATCGAGGGACCTGGAGAGTATTATACTAAGCAAAATAAGCCAGTCAGAGAAAGACAAGTATCACATGATCTCACTTACATGTGAAATCTAATGAATAAAATAAACTGATGAGTAAAATAGATCCAGAGACATAGAAGCATGGAACAGACTGACAAATCTCAGAGGGAAAGAGGGGTGTGGGAAGAGATTAACCAAAGAACTTATGGAGGGGACTCTTCCCCCTCCCCACGTGGGAGTCTGTACTTGTTCTTTAATAAATTTCCACCTTTGCTATACAAAAAAAAAAGAACTTATGGAATGCATATATGCGTAAGCCATGGACAAAGACAGTAGGGTGGTGAAGGCTTCGGGCTGGGGTGGGGTGGACAGGTGCAGGGTAGAGGGGGTTAATGGGGGGAAAAGGGTGACATCTGCAATACTTTCAACAATAGAAATAAGTGTAAAAATAATAAAAAAAATTTTAAAAAGGAAGAAAAAATTTTAGTTGTAATAATTTAACATTCAATAGTTAAAGTATCTTCTTGGTGCTGTCATGTTTGGTTTACTAATAACATTTAAGATATTTGTTCAGTTATCCTTCTGCAGTACCGATTGTATGGTAGAGAGGAGCAACAACGTTCAACTAGCAGCACTGGATATTGTCAGTAATATATCGTGTCACAAATGACTTAGGAGGTTAGAGGAAGAAGAAAAAGCCAGTGTTCTTGTGTATCAAAGGGGTCGTTAAATAGCATGCCACTGCTAGCTTCTGGTTATTAACTCCTCGTCTTCTAGAATCTGGGTCTCACCTTAGTGTTGCTCTGACATCCCAAGGTCACTTCCCCTAATGATCTAGGACCCTTGAAGTCCTGGACAGAGATTGGGTTAGGCATAATTCCAGAAAGTAAATGTGGCACTATTTTAGTTACAGAGGCAGCAGTATGCACCCTAGCCTGGAAGAGGCAGGGGTGGGGAGAAAGCAGGGAATGGGGCATTATTCTGGAATTCATAGAAGGCACTTGTAGAGGCCAGCACAAGTGAGTCAGGGAACCTGCAGATCCTGCTGACCAAGGCCGGATGAAAATGAGAAACTCATTAGCAAATCTATATTGAGTGTCATTTGTCAGCCAGACACTGTTAGATGCTAGGAATTCAAGATGGGGGCTATTCTCTGAATGAACCCATGGGCCAGTGGGGCAGAGATGGGTACTTAGACAGTTGCAGTACTTGTAAAGACCAGAACTGTAAAGGTCTGGGAGGAGATAGAAGGGTGATGAGGCCCATACCAGGAGAGAGAATGGTGATGTCATGGAAGACATCCAGAGGGTTTGGCACC